AAGCCATTTTTTCAGCAAAAGTAGGAATATTAGTGTAACACTGCAATTTGTCAGGATGACATTTTCATTCTACAGAACAGAACTGATAAATATGACAGAATGTCAGTGTCAGTCTTTAAAAAAGGACATTACGTGTCTAATCACAGACAACTCTCAAGTACCCCCACTCTCCCACACACACCTAAATTTGCACCCATGAACATAGCCAGATCTTTCCCAGTTTCGACAGGGTTGGGACAGCTCTGTACTTAGCTGGTCAGGCTTTGACAACTGGACATTCCTCTACCAGAGGGGTCTCATCTGCTAGACCTACTCAGAGCACAACTCATGGATGGGGCTCCTCACCACAGATGTGGATTTTTATTTTGATTAAAACAAAAACCATTGAGAAAAGGGAAGAAAATACCTAAACCACTAGGATATAAAAAAAATAAGAATCCATCTTGTGCTTGCTGTTGGCCCAATTGGTTTGTAGTCATTATTGTATATCTGTACAGCTTCAATAGGAATGGAGGAGAGTGCCACTGACCAGCTTAGCCTACAGGCTAGTGCAGGCACAGGCAATTATTTCGGGCAGAGGGCTGCTTACCCAGTTTTGGCAGGCTGTCAAAGGCCACATGGGTAGCCCTGCCTCTTCACAAGTGCCCTGCCCCTTGACAGGCGCTATGCCCCTGGTCACCATCTTGGGACCAATGTCCCAATGTCTTTGGTCCCAAGACATTGGTCCCATGTCCCAGGGCCAGCACCGGTGTGGCCTAAAGTGGGGCACAGGCTGGCAGGGGTCTGTGGAGCTGGGCTGGGCTGCACCAGCAGGGAGAGGGGTGAGCTGGCCCGGCTCCAGAGCCCCTGCCGGCTGGGACCCCGTGCTCCTGCCACCCTGCTCTGAGCCCCACCGGCACTGGCCCCAGGGCACCAGTGCAGGCCCCGTGCTCCCACTGGCTCCCCGCCCACTCACACCCAGTGTCCCCCAGCCCCGCGGTACAGGCGGGGGAAGGGGAGGCAGTACACAGTCCCAACCCCCTGCTCGCCAGCAGGGAAGAAGCTGGTGCTGAGCACGCAGAAAAGCGGCCCCTCGCCTACCCCATGGCTGATGCTCCCTGCTGCAGGCTCTCGCACCACAGGCGGGGCTGTCCTGAGCAGGCACAGGCAGCCCCATGAGGGCTGCGAGTGACTACAGCGTGGGGTGCCGGCCATGGGGCGAGTGAGGGGCTGCTTTTCCTCACGCTCAGCACCAGCTTGCAACCCAGCCCTGCTGCCAGCCAGGGCTCCAAGCCGGCCCCGGGCTCGCCTGTTGGGGCTGCGGGTGGTAGCAGCAGCTGCAGTCCCCCCCTTGCTGCACTGGGCAGTGTTGGCTGCTGCTGCCTGCCCAGAGCGCGCGCTGGGCAGCCCACAGGCAACAGTGGCAAACACTGCCCAGCGCGGCAAGCAGGGGGTAGCAGCTGCTGGCGCCACGCGCAGCCCCGCT